TGCGGTGCGGGTCTTGTCCCGCCTTTCCCAGCCTGGCCTCAACTGTGGTGTGTCCCCTTCTCTTTTAAATCCTTGCTGCCGTTCCCCAGCCCATTGGGGTGTCCTTGTTCTCTGACAAAGCAAGTGAAGCACAGAGACCCCCCGCCCGCGCGTCCCACCGACCACTCCTCAGGCTGGGGCTGAGCCCCGCTGGGACGGATCCTGCCCGGCCCTGTGGTGCTGTACCCTCTTGGCAGCTCTCGCTTGCTGGTGGCGGCAGGAGTGGGGACCGCAGGAGCGTGGGTCAGCCCACATTGCAGTCAGCCGGGGCCCTCGCTGCTCTCACTGCCCGTGCTGCTCTTACTGCCCTCGCCGTCACTCCTGCTGTGGCTGATTTCACATCTCGGGCCCCTTTGTCCTGGGGCCTGGCCACGTTCCCCTCTCAGGCGACTTCCTCGCATTGTCCCGGCCCCGCAGAGTGTAAAACCAGCCGGGCACAGGGGAAATGGTGCTTTCCTGGAAGCACCCCTGCCCGGTGAGGGGCTGCAGCCTCTCCAGCACAGGCAGCCCACATGCCTGGGAGAGCTGCGAGCACTGCCCCGAGCATCCATGCGCCGCCGAACCGTCCCAGCCAGGCTGGGGACATTACCGGGGGAAAGCTAGCGGGTAGCTGGCCTCAGCTGCCCTGTGCCTGGGGGTGCCCTTGGCCACGGTGCATGGCAATGCTGTGCCGGGGTGCCAAGGACTGGCTGGGGCTGGGGCTGGCAAGTTGCCGTGCCGTGTTTCCTGAGGCTCTCGGGAAAGGCTCGCGCCTGGTTTTTTTGGCTGGGAAGCGCGTGAGAGCGAGGGTTGCGATACGAGGAGGAAGCCAGGCTGCTAGAGAGCCGCGGCAGGGCTGGGAAAAGGGCTCCAAGGGGTCTGATCCTGCCGCCCATGGCTGATGGCTTGCTGCAGGGACCTGGGTCTGGCCAGGCTCCGGGATGGCAAAGGCAGGGTGATGAGAGCACCCGTGGCCAAGCCCAGAGCAGCCCCCACCAGTACTGGGGCTGCTGCTCCATCCTCAGGAGCGGCAGCTCTCAGCCCCTTGGCAGGGAGCGGCGTGAGTTCATCTTGGCTGGCTGTGGTACCGGGCCAAGCCCCGCTGCGAGTGCGGCCACAGGCGGTTCCCATCCCCGCAGCACGGGCGGATGGCGCACCGGGCCTCCTCCTGTGCTGGGCTCGCCGGCCAAGTCCTCCCCGCAGCACACGCGCCTCCCCTGCCTGCCAAAACTCCCTGACAGGGTCGTGGCTCGCGTTGCCGGAGCCAAACGTACCCGGCGCGGCTTTTCACCGGTGGCCCCCACCTGCCGCCCGGCCTCCACACCTGCCGGGCTCAAGGGCAGTCACCAAGCCAGCGGTGCCACAGCTTGTGGGGACTTTGACCAACATCAGCTGTTCCCGTGTCACCTGCTGCCACCGTGGCAGGGCACCCCACTGCAGGAGGCTCCCCTGGCCTGTCTGTATGGGGTCACGGCTGACACTGTCCGTGGGGAGCACACGCGTCCCCTCCACTCCTGCCCTACACAAGGCATGAGGCGAAGGTGATGGGTCACTTGGGATCCGGCTGGAGAAAGAGGGCTTTTATCTGTTTTACCGGATCTCATTACAGGGCCAGGCAGGCAGAGTGCCCTAGCACACTGTTAACTCTGAGCCCTACTGATGGACAGTGACGTTATTGACTGTGTTGCTGCTGGTGGTTTTAATAGAAACTTCTCCCATAATCCAGCCATCTCCCCGTGAGCTGAGTGACCCTCACAACTGCCAAATCCACCACCCCTGCCAGCAACTTCTGCAGTGCCGTTATGTCCTGTCAGTACAAAAATCAGCTGATTGCACGTTAAACAGGGAGAGTGAGAAGAGCTGAGAGCCTCCGACAGATTCAGTGCAGCAGGGTGGTTTTGTTCTTCAGTGCTCCACGGTCCTGCTGGGCACCTGCGCAGGAGCACACAGACATGCTGTGCAGGGCAACATCGGTGTCCTGGCATGGGCACCCCCCTAAAAAGCTTCAGCCCCTCCGGCCTCAACCACCCGAAGGTCAAACAGCTGTAAGAATGGCCCTGCCTCGCTGAGGGCTCGGAGGTGTGCCCACAAGATGTGTAACGGAGGGACGATGTCCCGGGGAGGGTCCAGATTTGGACAGGGGCACGCTCCAGCCCGTGCGCGGCGAGCACTTGCGGCAAGGTGGGCAGGTCCTCATCCCAGCGGGGCAGCTGGACCGGCGGGTCCGAGTTCAGCGGGGGGTGAGCTTGGGACAGGAGGCACTTTCTGCGACCACTGCCAGCTCCCGCTGTTTGCTCTTTTCTCTTCCTCTCCGCTCGTCGCAGAGCAGCGTGCGCTTTGGCTCCGTACCACAGGGAATGTCATCAAGCTGCACGCGCCGGGAGCGAGCAGTCGCGGTGCCGGCGGTGGGCCGGGGCGCTTGCTCGAAGCCGGCAGCATATGCTGCCGGCACTGTGGCGCATCGGCTCCTGCCGGTGGGGTTTAGGTTGCTGTTGGGATCAGTCTCAGCCTCCAAGTTTGCAGTCCTCATCCTCCGGTGTGCTAGGACCGGCGGGGGGGGGGGGGGGTGGGCGGCGTCCGGTTTGCGGCCGGCGGTGGCAGCTGTGTTGCCGCTGTGGCTTGCCGCTGTGCCGATACCCGTTGCCATGGCTGCTCTGCTAATGGTGCATCGCCTGCTGCTGCCGTTACATCATTCCTGTGGTACCTCTGCATCGGCAGCGAGGAGCTGAGCGGCACTGTCTGCATTGCCGGCGCTTGCTGCTCACTTGGAGCAAGCTTGAGAAGGAAAAGTTTGGCGGCGAGCTCGAGCAAGAGGCATCATCTCATGGGAGCTTCGGCCTGAATTGAAACAACTCCTGATGGCTCTGTCGAATATCTCCCTGTGGATTCGGGATGCCTGGGCAGTAGGTAAATAGGCATGCTGGTGTGGAGTGGGGATGACTCGGGGAGATGCTCGCGGAGGGCACGTATTCTGTGCTCTGCAGCTGGGGGTCCTGCAGGGACGCTCTTCTCCCAGGAGAGAGTGAAGCTCAGCTCCCCTTGGAGCAAACTCCCCTTGACTTCAGACCCGGTCTTTATACACCCACAGTGGCCGCGGCGTCCCAAGTCTGAACACTCGCTTGCGCTCAGTAAAACTCTGCCAGCTGTTACAGAGGTAGCAGCACCCGCTGCAGCTGCTAGTGCTGGCTCGCACCCCTGCCCAGGGCAGCCTGGCGGGGACAGTCCCAGCGGGATGCTGCCATGGCCCTGCCTGCCAGCGCTGCCCCTGCTTCGAGCCCCAGGGCGAGGAGCAGAGCTCACTGCTGCCAGCCTGCAGCCCCGAGAGGAGACAGACCCCCTGGGAGACATGGGGACACACAGGGAGCAGCCTCTGGCAACCCTGGCCTCCAGCCGCCTGTCGTTAACACCTCTGCCTGTGCCTGCGCCTGTCTGCGGGCAGAGCTGGGGCTGCTCTCTGCTCCCCTCCGCAAGCCCCGGGGCAGGGATGGGGGACTGACGCCAGCAGGGAGATGGGGCCAGCTGTGTGCGACAGACCCCCTGGGAGACATGGGGACACACAGGGAGCAGCCTCTGGCAACCCTGGCCTCCAGCCGCCTGTCGTTAACACCTCTGCCTGTGCCTGCGCCTGTCTGCGGGCAGAGCTGGGGCTGCTCTCTGCTCCCCTCCGCAAGCCCCGGGGCAGGGATGGGGGACTGACGCCAGCAGGGAGATGGGGCCAGCTGTGTGCGAGCCCCCCCACAGGGATGGGGGACTGACACCAGCAGGGAGATGGGGCCAGCTGTGTGCGGGGTGAGCCCCCCCATCGGCCGTGCCTCAGTTTCCCCCCAGCAGTGAGGCTGGCCAGGCTCAGGTCAAGAGTGCTGGGGGTGTGTGGGATGGAGCCGGCCCTCCAGCTCTGCTCTCCCAGGACACCCTTCGCCTCCCGCAGGCATTTGCCATGGGGTAGGGGCCCCTCAGAGGCATTTCATATTTTGAGCCTGTCACCGATAAGCTTGGCAGGAGGGTCACCGCCAAGGGCAGCAGGCTCTGCTATGGCTGCACCATTCCTGCCAGCCACCGTGTCCTCCTGCTTGGTGCTCCGTCTTAGCCGGGGCATCCTGAGTCCCACGGATGCAGGTGGCAGCCGCGGCTTGCACAGACACCCCAAACCTGCTCCTGCACCAAACCTGCACCGGGCCGCTTCCAAAAACAGCCCGGCCCTCGGGAGCGCGGGCAGCAGCACCACTTTATCAGCCCCTGCCGCAGGCCGGGGTGCTGGCTCCTCGCACCACATCGCAGAGCCGCCACGTGATGCCAGGCCGTGAGCAGCTGCCGGGGCTGTGCCCAGAAAAACCATCTGAGTGACTGCTCCCAAGGAGCAAAAGCCAAAACATCAGGGTGTTACGCTTACTCTTGCACACAGGGTAGTGCAAGCACGGTGCAGCCCCGCGGGGCATGGGTTTGGGGTGCCTGGGCCACCGGAGGGATGCTTGGCTTATCCGCCCTTTCCCACCCCTTCTCCTCCTCAGCTGCTGCTTCTGCTGGGAAGATGAAACCAGCCCCGCCAGCGCCTCGGCGGTGCCCGTGCTGCTGCCTGCGTCAGCTCAGGATGGCACCGGCTCGCTTGCGTTCCCAAATGAGCGTGTGTCTGCAAAGGGTGGAAAGCCCTGTAGGGCAGGGACACCCCCCCCGACCGTCCCGCACTGCCCTTTCCCTCTTGGTCCAGTGCCAGCTGGCCACGCAGCCCTCTCTTCCCTGCCTGCAGCTCGCGCTGGCAGGGCAGGGTGCTGGGCCCCTCCTCGCCGGCTGCCTGGGCACGCTTCCGCTTCGCCCCAGGGCGGCCCTGGGTTTCGGCGCTGCGGTTTGCCCACGTGGTTGGAGCCCGCGGGGTGGGGGCCCGGGGGTGCCCCAGCAGCGGGGCCGAGGCTGTGGAGGTAAGCTCCCATACTGCGGCTCCGGGGAGGGTGGCGGGGGGCTGCCCCCCCGCAGGATGCTGGCGCCGGGCAGCTCGGGGAGGTGGGGGGGGGAG